AATCCATCCTCCCAATCTCTTCATCATACAAGAAACTGTGCCATATCTTCCATTTATCAATTATATGTAATATATTCCATCACCCCTACACTTATATATAATATACCATCACCCCTTCAATTAATATCATAATCAAATGTTTGTGATCTTTTAAAATAATAAACATTACAAAATACTCTTAAAAAATAAGCAATAATATGGGTAACAGTCTTAATATAACAACAGTAAACTACATTGCTACATTTTGCGACAGTATGCATAAAAAGCCAACCCACAGGTTGAGAACCGCTGGTTTAATGCATCCAGCAGTAAACTAAAGCAGGGGAGGGGGCTGGCTTTGCACGGCATCTAATCTCCTCCCTGCAAAAGAAAAAAAACTCGAAGCCTAAAATGATGGCCAATAACTTTAGCAAATAGCACAAATAGAGTCAGCAGGATCCTGTCCCGGACGGAGACCAACTGGGTTAATGTGAAAGACAGTTTTTACCAGGGAATCCTCAAGGATAAAGAGATTCTGCCTTAGGTATAGGTCTCCAAGTGGGATAGATTTGGCTGGGGGGGAGGTGGAGAGGGAATTTCAACAAAAGCCTCCCAATCTTAAACCCTCAGACCTCTCCAAAGGGTTTTTTCCTGAAACTCGTGAGATCTTTTTCTCATTTTACATTCTCTTCCTGATGGAAAGAAACTATTTTCTAAAAAAAGTAGGCTTGGTTTTTCTTTGCAGAAAAAGTAAGGCGGGGAGAACCTGGACTGGAAAAAACGAGGGGGATCACACAGTCTGAATCTGGCAGAAGTCTGGGTATGCTGCCTTCTTTTGACAATCCCCCCTCCCCTCTTTTGCATATTGGAGGGGCCAGGGATAAATTCTATTAAAGCTGCCCAACAATGCGAGGAGCTGTCAATCAAAGCCACCAGATCTGCACCTTCTGTCTGCTTCCTATAGATATGTAACTAAGGGTGATGGCTTTTCCTTCTTTCTTTGGAGCCTTTGAAAAGCATTTTGAGCAAATAAAACAAGCCGCTCTCCAACTTTTCTCCCCCACCTTCTGTTAGGGGGCATCAAATTCACCCGATCTTCTCCTCTTGAATATTATTTCTCTCGCGTTCCTAAACAGGCTCTTCCTATGATTTACTTCTTTATTTTTTTTAATATGCCATTTATTCGTTGATATTTGAAGGTAATAAATCCGTGAGGTTAAAAAGTTTGAGCAAACTATTAAATGGCCAAGCCTTTGCCTATTTAATAAGGGATTGAAAAACCCGGACACCCAACCCTCCGGGGCTTTTTCCTTGCCGGCTGCTTGAGCAGAAAAGCAGCCGAACCTCTCCGGTGGGTCTTTCCCTTCTTCCTAGGACCCCCCCCCCCCAATCAGCTCTCCCCTCCCCCGGCTCAGAAAAGCCGAAGAAGCGCAGAAAGATTCCTCGCCTGGGAAGGACTTTTTTTTTTTTTTTTTAAATGCCCCAGCAACAACTATTGGCTTGAAGATCCCCCGGCTGCTATTTTAAAAAAGCCGAGAAGAGGGAAAGAAAAGAAAAAAAAGAGAGACTAGGACTTTTTTTTTGCACTAAAAAAAGAGGGAGAGGGAAGGGGAAAAAAAGGGAAATTCTCCCCAGCAGCTGGCTGGTCTGGCGCGGTGCTGGTGGTGGAGCAAAGGGGAATCAGGACCCCACGCAAAGCTCTCCAGCCTTTCTGGGCTTCAGTCTGTGGGTCCCTTTCCTTTGCAAGTTGCAAAGGAAAGGAGGGGAGGGGAAAAAAAGTCGGAGTTCGGGAGGCCCCGCCTCTTTCTTTTCAGCCTGGCTGGCTGGCTGGGCTTACTCGCTGGCTGGGGCTCGCTGACTCTTCCTCTCCCGCCCCCCTGCTGTCTTTGCTTTCATGACGTCGCCGCCTTTGATTTGAGTGCTTTTCAAAAATCGGGCTCGAGCCGCGCCAATCGGTTCCTAAGACCATCAGAAATATGTGTTTTCCGATGGTCTTAGGCGACCCCTGTGAAACGGTCGTTCGACCCCCAAAGGGGTCGCAACCCACAGGTTGAGAACCGCTGCTCTATCCTTTATTTGTTTAACCTCTCCAGTTGGCTGATGTATCTCCTCATGAAGTTCCCTTGAGAGTGTGTCAATTTTTAATTCAAGCTTTGTTCCCACTGCCTGGATTGCTTCATGTGTTTTACTTGAATATTCTTCCAGAATAGCTCTTAGGGGTTCAAATTACCCTGATCCTCTTTTTTCTAGCTTTCTTCTTGTCATCGTGATGATGTTTCCCAAGTTAGCACAAAAAAATTAATACTGTTTTTCTGTTTAGCTTAGTAGTATTGCAGAAATTGCAGCAATATTGCAGTCTTTGGCTCCCTCCTGTGATCAAACAACAACACCACAGCATTACTACAGATGATATTTATTTATTTATTTATTTGTTTTTATATTTCTTAACCGCCCATGTCCCATTACAGTCAAGTAGCTTCGAGCCTGTTGTTAATTTTTATCCAATCAGCAACAAGTAAAATCTTTATTTCTCCCCACAACAAACTTCTTTAAAATCACCACTTAAAGAGTCTTTAATCAGAAGCTGTAGAGAAACAGCAAAGTCAGTTTAAAAAGAATAGAATCCTCAAGGACAATTAAGTCCTTAAATTTCTGAAGTAATTTCCAGCTTCCTTATTCTGGCTCAGTTACAGCAATATCTCCCCTCCTCACCATTTTAATGTCACAGAACTTCAGAAATTATGTTGTTTCAAAACAATAGAGGAAAAGAGCCTCTTTTAGAGCAGAAAGGTAAATATACAAGAAAAAGTGTCTAAGAAGTGAGGGTGTGTTTTACTGTCCATTTTAAAAGTATTTAAAAATGGATTATTCTTCCACAGTGAGCTTCCTTCTTTGTTGGCCTGCCCCCAGCTGGAGACTCACCCAATCACTTCTTTCTGAAGCTTTCTGAAAGCATCCAGCTGCCCAGGGAATCCCTGGGCAACTTAAAACCATTTGTTTAAGAAACATTTGAAGTTATAATGGCACTGAAAAAGTGACTTGTGATTGGTCCTCACACTTATGACCATCGCAGCATCCACATGGTCACATGCAGGGCTTTTTTTCTCATAGAACGCCCAGAACGGAGTTCCGGCACCTTTTTTGGATGGAACCTTGTAGGGTAGGCAAGGCTGGTTGTATGACGTGTGTGAGTTCCGGCACCTTTTTTTTTTTAGAAAAAAAGCACTGGCCACATGATCAAAATTTGGGCAACCAGCATATATTTATGGTGGTTGCAGCATCCCAGGGTCATGTGAGCAGCATTTGCGACCTTCCCAGCTTTCTTCCGACAAGCAAAGTCAGTGCTGGATTTGCTTCATGACAACATGATTCACTTAACAACTGCAGTGATTCGCTTAATAGGCATGGCAAAAAAGTTTGTAAAATTGGGCATGACTCACTTAACAACCACCTTGCTTAGCAACAGAAATTCTGGTCCCAATTGTGGTCATAATTTGAGGACTACCTGTACAGTGTATCTTTCAGAGTTAGAATGACTACTACACTTGATCTTAGCCAAAAGGCTGAGAAGCGATAGAATGACTAACAATAAATAGTCCAATCATAAAATAGTATACAGTTCCAGTGAGAGCAGGAAATATAAAAAAGGCAGATGCAGCAGATAGAAATAAAAGCACTGGTTAAAATTATATCTCTGATTAAACACAGAATGTTTTGTCATATAGCAAAACAATGTAAGAGGGAATGCCAATTCCCAAGCCTTCTCACTAACACTTTAAATTCTGCCAGAAAAAAGAAGAAAGCTAATGCAGCAATGCAAGATACTTACTTACCCTGCAACAATGCACTAGTTATCAGTTTGTTTAAACCTGTAAACAAGCAACTACCAGTGTGTTCTTTGTTGCATTCTGGACCAGTTGCTGTTTTTGAAGACTCTTCCAAATCGGTACCAACATAGAGCATATTGCAGTGATTCAATTTTAAATGCAGCTAAGTTATATTTAAATAATTATGGCTAGGACTGGTCTTGCCTAGAACAGTCACAATTGATGTAGTGATTTAAGCAGAGCAAACTACTTCTGCCTACAGCACCAAAAATGTTATTGGACAGAAAAATTATGCAAAGTAAGTTTCCTCTGGAAGATCTGCCTGAGGGTATAATTGAATTCATGTTTAAGATTTTTAGATTTGAGTCTTATGTAGGCTCTGTTTCTTATTTCCTGTGTCTACCTCTGTCATCTCATCCATCCACAGTCATTGAAGCGGATCAAGCGTTCAGATCGACGTGGTGCTGAGTCAGTGACTGAGGAGAAGTTCACCATTCTTTTTGAGTCTCAGTTCAGTGTTGGTGGCAATGAGCTGGTATTCCAGGTGAAGACATTATCTCTGCCTGTGGTGGTAATTGTGCATGGCAGCCAGGATAATAATGCCACTGCCACAGTGCTATGGGACAATGCTTTTGCAGAGCCAGGACGTGTGCCCTTCGCTGTGCCAGACAAGGTGATATGGTCACAGTTGTGGGAAGCTCTCAACATGAAGTTGAAGTCTGAAGTCCAGAGCAGTCGAGGACTCACAAAAGAGAATGTTCTCTTTCTAGCCCAAAAGCTCTTCAATAGCAGCATCAACCATCTGGAAGATTATAACAGTATGGCTGTCTCCTGGGCTCAGTTCAACAGGGTAAATAAGGAACCAATTAACAACTAGATTTGCCAGAAATCCACTTTGTGGGAGGTAGCTTGGCCTGTAGGCCTTTTCTATTTCCATAATGTTTTCCCCATCTTTTGTTTTTTCATTTCCTATCCACTTTATTGTCATGTGTTCTCTTTTTCTCACTGCTTCTCAATCTGCTTTTGAGATAGAAAACAGACAATTCAGTTTGCAAATGTAATTCTGAACTGTCTTGGAGCAACACATGCAGCTGATCAATAGCTAGTCATGCGAATGCAAAGATTTATTTCATGCCATTTTGGAAAGAACAGCTCTGTGTATAAAACCTTTAAACCATCAGCTGATTAAAAGAACTTAGACTTTGATGGTCTTACTGAGAACCATTGCTTTTATACAGGAAAAGCACTGACCTTGTAGATAGATCAAAATCCAAACTGTGCTGGGGTTCAGATTCTTGCTTTCTCTTAAGTTCTTTGGTAATCTCTGCTTCTCAGTCCTTGATCTGTAAAAGGGAATAATATTGATTTACCTCACAGAAGGAATGAGAACAATAAAGCAGTTTTACTGGGGGCACAGTGGCCGAGCAGTTAAGATGCTGGGCTTGTCAACCAGAAGGTTGGCAGTTCGAGACCTAAGTACCACGTGATGGAGTGAGCTTCCATTACTTGCCCCAGCTCCTGCCAACCTAGCAGTTTTAAAGAATGTAAAGGCAAGAAGATAAATGGGGAAGGTAACAGTGTTCCATGCACCTTCAGTGTACAGTCATGCTGACCACATGACCATGGAAGCGTCTACAGACAACGCTGGCTCTTCAACTGTGAATCGGAGATGAGCACCGCCCCCTAGAGCCAGACATGACTGGCAGGGGAAACCTTTACCTTTTTTTTTTTTTTACTATTAGAGTTAATAATAATCCTAAGTATGCTAGCAGAGTTCATTCATACAACCCATGAGATGGGAGGAAATCTGCTTTGACAAGATAAAAACCAAATGAATAAATTCATATATATTACCTTGGCAACAGCTCAGGAATGCTGAGTTATTGCTTGCATAATACAGACTAAAGATTTATTAGAAGTAGTCCCTCACAAAGTGAGTTTTAAACTCTGCATTTCTTATCTGAGAGCTAATTCTTAACATTAAACAGGCTCTCATTAAACTTTGGAGGCTGCTTGTTTTCAAGCCAGACTCAGAATTAATTAGTTAATTAAATTTATAAGTGACTCTGAAGGGTGTACAGAGTAAAAATCAAAGTTGCATCAGAAAATAAAAGATATTCATAATCAGGTGAAAACAAACACAGTGATGCTTAAAAGTTTGTGAACCCTTTTGAACTTTCAGTTTTCTGCATAAATATGGCCTAAAGCATGATCTGTTCTCTGTACAAGTCTTAAAGCTAGGTAAAGAGAATCCAATTAAACAAATGATTTAAAACATATTTGTTCATTTATTTATTGAGAAAAATGATGCAAAGCTACATATTTGCATGTGGCAAAAGTATGTGATCCTTTGCTTTCAGTAACTGGTGTGCCCCCCTTCGGCAGAAATAACTGAGTAAATGTTTCTGATAACTGTTGATCAGATAGGCTTGCAGAAATGTTAGCCCGTTCCTCCTTACAGTACAACTTCAACTCATTAGTTCATTAGACATACATCAAAATCCTTACTTAACTAGTTTAAATGTTGGCTTGTAATATCACCATCTGAGCTGTCTTAACTTCTTGCATCAGCACAAATGTATTTGGGGCTGTACAGTATCTAAAACATGTTCGTTCACTACAGACATGAATTTTGTATAACTTAGTCAACTATACAGGCAACTAATTGAATTCCATTTAAAACCTCCCATGATTAATCATTCAAATCCACAGAGGTGACAAAGTTTTTCTAGCTGCTGTTCCCACCAGTTTGGAGTCACTTAAGCTTAAAAGAATGCATGTTATCTTTCTAATGAATGTAGCTGTCTGTGTACTTTGCTATTAGTTCATTCTTTCTCTAACTTATTAGTGTAGGATCAGAGAAAATATAAAGTCCTCCAACAACCAGTGAAAGATTCCAGAAATATGTTTTTCTTTCTTTCCATTTAACCAGGAAAATCTTCCAGGGCGTAATTATACATTCTGGCAGTGGTTTGATGGGGTGATGGAAGTCCTGAAGAAACACTTGAAGCCTCACTGGAATGATGGGTAAGACTCCTATTCCCTGCTCCCCCTTAACTTACTTTTCCTGTCTAGATTCTTTGCAGGCTGATTTTTGTCTCTCTCTATCATTTCCACTTCTCCAGGGCTATTCTAGGTTTTGTCAATAAGCAGCAGGCACATGATTTGCTAATCAACAAGCCAGATGGAACCTTCCTCCTGAGGTTCAGTGACTCTGAAATTGGAGGTATCACAATTGCCTGGAAGTTTGATAATAGTAAGTTTTTTTCCCCAAGAAAACAAATGCCTATTTTGACCACTGTGAGAACATTGGATCAGACCCTTTCTAAACAGAAGTGGCATAAACACTACACAGGTGTTATCTAGTGGTTGCTGGAATTCTAGGCCTCTCCTATATCTGTTGTAAGAATATCCCATATTTCTTGCAATCAACAATAATATATTTAAAGTCTTAATTCTGTAGTAAACTCATTGTAGCACATATTTCTGCAGTGGCCTCATAAATCTTTTCCAATATAAGTTTGCAGTTTAATTGTAAATGAGATTTCTCCATTTTGATAGTAATTAAAGAGAGTCTTTTTTCTTTTTGTGGAGGCTGTATTTAATAAAAGTTAAGCAGTATCCACCCCCACAATTCCCACAGCTGCATCAGCTTATCTTTTCTCTTCAAAAGTGATTTGAAGGTCAAGTCTATTCCATCTCCAAAGAATAACCCGAAATTGCAGTATTAGGTTTTCGCCACTAGATGTCCTCAGTGGATTAAAAAATATTTTTTCCAGACACCATTTCACCCCCCTTTTTTCTATCTTTTAAAATATAATGTGAAAAAATAAATAATCTTCCAGCATAAAATGATAGTACAGCTCTTAGGAAAGATTTTTTTCTGTACCCCAAAGCATATGAAAATAAAGTATAGTCTTTAAAATTTTGTTCTATTCTTTTGTTCAACGCCTTTCTTCCCAAACATGTAGAAGCTGCTTTTTCAAGCCAGGGAAATAATTCCAACAAGGCTCTTACAGGCAAAAAAAAAAAAAAAGCAAGATAGATTTTCTTCTCCGTCGGCCCTCAGAGTTGGCTCGGACAGCTGGAGGAGCCGCCGCTCCTCCGCAGCCGAGCGAAGCCTCTTCGACAGAAGTCGCACCCTCCAGGGTGACTTTCGACCCGCATAAGGGTCTACCAGTGGAGGGAAACTAGCCGACGAGGAGACAAGTCTCTTCGTTCGACTAGAGGCGCCACAATCCAGAACCGGATCAAACCTTCAAACTGATCTCCAGACTACATCTGACCATTCAATAAATCAAAACATACTAGAAGAGGAAACAAATGAGACAAAACAGGAATTTATTTTACCTTATAAACATTCCATCTATAGCTTTGAGAATCAGAAGAATCAAAGATTGAGACTTGAAACTTTAAAGCAACAAAGCTTTAAGGATGAGAGAAATAGATGCCTAATGCAGAGGATGGGATTCCTATCGTTTCAAAGGGCACTGCAAGCAATAAAGAGAGATCTATCGGCTGAAAGGGAAGCTTGGTTATGGAAACCTGCCTGGCACAGAAAAAAGGCCAGAATAAGACTGAAAAGAGAAATTTAAAATTGTGTAATGGATTAAAAGGCAATGTTGATTTATGGACTGTTTTAAGGATTAAGATTTAGAGTTAGAAGTAAGAAAAAAATAGGGTGATTATTAGAACAGATATCTTAAATAGATTAAGAATGTACTTTTTGGAATAATAGGTTTATTTTGATGAAAATTATTATGTATTGGAATGGAAAAAATGGTGGCTTTTTAGATTTGGATTGTTTCAATAATTAATTGAGTGTTTTAAATTAGTAAGATGATGTTTTTGTATGATAACATAGATGTGATAAGGCATGATAATCAATTGGATGAAATTTGAATTTTGTTTAATGAACTGAAATGATTTAAGGCTTAATATTATTTTGTTATCTTAAAGAGATTGATCGATTGATGGATTATATATGTATAGGATAGATTAATATTTTATTTTAATTAGGATATGTATTGTGTAGTGGAAGAAGAAATAAATGAGACTTGTGATAAAATGAAGGATGTGAGAGATTAAGAATTAGAATATATCTGGAAGGGATACCTGAATTGATAACTTGTTGATTTAAAGTTAAATTTGATTATGGTAATTGTAAACTTATAAAGTTTTAAAACAGGTTTAGCAGTTATAGAAATTTAAATTAGAAATGGAACATTTTAAACGTATTATGCTATTTCAGGGAAATAGAGAGGGGACATTGAATGTATTGAGTTGAGTTATTTATATATGGTTTTATTTTTGAATGTTTGATTACCCCAACACCACGGTGTGTCCTGAGCACTTTGTCTTAAGAATTAAAAAACCAATAAAATGTGTCTCAATATATATATATATATAAAATCTGTAGAATAGTTTCCTCATCTTGAACATATATTCCCCAATTCAGTTTTTTAAAAAGGGAAACTTCAGCTGCACAACTGTTCTATAGGAGAGAGGAAGGAAGCCACATTTTAACTTAACAAAACATGCGAGACATAATCCTAAATAATTGATCTTTACATGTTCTTTAAACATTAAATCTCTTTCACTGTCTGCCTTAGACATTGGGATTCCCCCCCCCTTCTTCTTAGGCAAGGGATCTCATGAATGAAAGAAGTAAGAATTGCCATATTTCTGATAGCTAGGTGGCATTAGCTTTTTACTTTGTCCTTTTTTCAGTTTTTAAATGCATCTGTTTTCTCTGACCCTTGTGCATGTTTCCATTTATGGGTTTCAACATGACTACATTATGTAGCATATTTTTAATTACCGTATTTTTCGCTCTATAAGACGCACCTGACCATAAGACGCACATACGAGGAAAACATGAAAAAAAATACTCTAAAGCAAATGGTGTACTAAAATATTTAATAAACTATAACAGAATAATATTTCAACCATGTTAAGTGAACAGCAGTCAACGTGACATTAAGAATCATTATGACTGTCATTAACAAATGTCAAAGGATGGATGGATGGATGGATGGATGGAAGGAAGGAAGGAAGGAAGGAAGGAAGGAAGGAAGGAAGGAAGGAGAGATTGAAAGGGAAGGGAAGGAGATGGGTGGAAGGAAGGAAGGAAGGAAGGAAGGAGAGATTGAAGGGGAAGGGAAGGAGATGGATGNGGAAGGAAGGAAGGAAGGAAGGAAGGAAGGAAGGAAGGAAGGAAGGAAGGAGAGATTGAAGGGGAAGGAAATGAGATGGATGGATGGATGGATGGAAGGAAGGAAGGAAGGAAGGAAGGAATGATCTTTGGAGAGTCATGTTTTCCCAGATGGTGATGAACTGCAACTCCCAGCATTCCCCACTCTTCCACAGTGCTTTTTAGGGCTGCTGGGGATGGTAGACCAACGGGAGAAGTGGTAGCAAAAGCGCGGCATTTCGGCTTGGGCACACAGCCTTGCCTGCAGGCGCTGCCAAGGACACACAAGCAGCTCTGCACAATTGCCCGGGGAGGGGGGCAGGCTCTGGCGGAGAGCCTGGCGGAGAGCCAAGCGGCATCACCTCCGGGGCCTCAGAAGCCGCGCAGAGGATCCGCGCGCCTCGGAGCCGCTGGCCGTCCTCTCGCGCCCGCCAACCTGGAGCCCTCCAACCTCATTCCGGCACCTCTTGCCCTCTCCCAGCCGCCCCTCTGGGACCTGCCGGCCCCTCGAGCCTCCTAAGCGCCATCGCAGCGGTGGGGTCGCGGGAGCCCCTTTCCACGCCGCGCAGCCTTTCACCGCCAAACCCTTCCCCGATTCATCGCACACGAGAGGGGCGCGGCCGGAGCGCCAGCTCCCACTCGGAAGGCACCGCTTCTCCCCTCCCTGGCCGGCTGGCTGGCCTCCAACGCTGGCCTCCGCTTCTGAGACCCGGAGCCCGGCGAGCCGGGAAGGAGCTGCTCCTGCCAGCGAGCCCCAGGGCTGCGCCAGGCGCCAGAGGGCCAAGGCGGCCTCCGACGGCAAGGGAGGTGGGCCGGGTGGTGGGGGGAGGCTCCGGCGTGGCGCAGAGGGCGGCCGGGCAACCAGGAGGCATGAGGACCGGCTCAGCTCAGCTCCCTCTCTCTATTTCTCCCTCTCAAAGATCCTTAAAATCCTCCCTCGCCATCGGAGGCCGCCTTGGCCCTCTGGCGCCCGGCACAGCCCTGGGGCTGGCGGGCAGGAGCAGCTCCTTCCCAGCTCGCTGGGCTCCGGGTCTCAGAAGCAGCCAGGTGGCGGGGAAGAGGGCGAGGCGGCGATGCCCGCATGTGCATCGGAGGCCAGCCAGCCGGCCCGGGAGGGGAGAAGCGGTGCTTTCCGAGCGGGAGCTGGCGCTCCGGCCGCGCCCCTCTCGTGTGCGACGAATCGGGGAAGGGTTTGGCGGTGAAGGGCTGCGCGGCGTGGAAAGGGGCTCCCGTGACCCCACCGCTGCTATGGCGCTTAGGAGGCTCGAGGGGCCAGCAGGTCCCGGAGGGGCGGCTGGGAGAGGGCAAGAGGTGCCGGGATGAGGATGGAGGGCTCCAGGTTGGCGGGCGCGAGAGGACGGCCAGCGGCTCCGAGGCACACGGATCCTCCGCGCGGCTTCTGAGGCCCTGGAGGTGACGCCGCTTGGCTCTCCGCCAGGCTCTCCACCAGAGCCTGCCCCCCTCCCCGGGCATTCCAGCCCCGGACCTGCACCGGTCAGCTGGAACGTCAGGCAAAGCTTTGGCCGGTGCGGAGGGCAAAGGGGAGGCTGCCGCAGCGCCGAACTCCTGCGCTTGTCAGCTGGGAGGTCTGGCGATGGAGCCGGCTGGCGGAGGGCGATGGAGAGGCGGCGACTCGGCGGGCGGGGTCCTGCCTGCCCACCCGCCCGATTTGTAAAAGAAAAATCTTCCGCCCAAGCATAACGCCAGCAGTTCTGTGACACGGGGGCTTGAGGTATGGAGGCACGGGACGCGGAACGGCGCTGTGGGAGGCAGCAGGACAGGGGGGAGGGGTTACCTGCATCCTGCCAGCCGACCTCTGGAAGCCTGCCTGAATGAAGACTTTTAGGGGGTGTGGAAAGGGAGACAGACTGAGGGCTGTATTAAGACCATAAATGGCTGCTTAAGGAGAGTGGAAGGGAGGCGAATTCGGGGTGGAGCAGAAAACA